ACTACTACTACTACTACTACTACTACTACTACTACTACTACTATTACTACTACTACTACTACTACTATTACTACTACTACTACTACTACTACTACTACTACTACTACTATTACTACTACTACTACTACTACTACTACTACTACTACTACTACTACTACTACTACTACTACTACTACTATTACTACTACTACTACTATTACTACTACTACTACTACTACTACTACTACTACTACTACTACTACTACTACTACTACTACTACTACTATTATTATTATCATTATTATTAATACTACTATGACTACTACTACTAGCATTACTATCAGTCTGTCAGATTCATCCATGTTCCTAGAGTCTAGCTTACTTCTTCAAGTTGGCAGGTAATTAGTTGATGTAATTATAGTTAATGCTAAATTTCCCAGATTGTTTATTTGTATACACATTTTCCTAGTTGTCATGGGCATAAGGGTAGTCATTTGTTGATAAAGAGAAAAAGGAATACCTCAGTTTGTGCTCATTTTTCCAAAGTAATTTTGGAAATCTAGTGTTCAAAATCATTATGTTAGTAATGATTGTGAACAGTAGATTCATGATGTTGGTTATTAATCTAGATTTATTATGTTAGTAATAGGGAGTCACCTGTTGAATTTTAGCTGGTAATTTGAACTGTTCTATTTGATAATGTTGAAAATTTGGAGTATATGAATTGAAATGATTTTAAAGCATTAGCATATTAGAGTGCATTTTGGTCAAAGTCAGGGATGATATTGCATGCTCAGATGCACCTTATTTTTATTTTTATTTATTTATTTATTTGTTTACCTAATGAGGCCAAACATGGAGCACAATAAGGATTTGTATATTCTTTACTATAGAAAGAGAAAATTACAGGAAATTTTATTTTGTACTTCTTGCAGAGATAAAAGTTAAATTTATTTTATTATTATCAATACTTAAAAAAAAAAAAAACTCATTATTATTGCAATATGTATTGATTATTATTATAATTATTATTATTTACTCTGCATTTTACCACTGTAACTACAGCATCCTCCTCTGCCCCTCCAGAGCGGAATGAGCATGGAACTAGGTGTGCAGGGGAGATTGCAGCTGCAACCAACAGTGTGTGTGGCGTTGGGGTTGCCTACCGTGCTAACATCTCAGGCATCCGTGTACTTGGTGGTCGCATGACAGACTCCATGGAGGCAGCTGCGTTCATTCAGGGACTAGATGTCAATGATATTTACTCTTGCAGGTGAGGATGGTTTTTGTGTGTGTGCGTATGCGTATGCGTATGCGTATGCGTATGCGTGTGCGTGTGCGTGTGCGTGTGTGCGTGTGTGTGTGTGTACATATAGTGGTATACAGTATTAATATATGTATATACCTTTTTCATCATTCATTCCTTTATATAATTTTGCCCGTCTTTTACCCTCCAAAGCTGGGGACCTGATGATGATGGGCGGACAGTGGATGGGCCACACCACCTTGCCAGCCGCGCCCTGGCACATGGCATTACCTATGGCAGGAAGGGCTATGGTGCAATCTATGTCGTGGCTTCAGGCAATGGTGGCAGAAAGAAAGATAATTGTAAGGATGTTGGGTATTAATTGCTGAAGGAGTTGATTAATTTAAGTGGGAAATAGGTAGATGGATGTGAAGAAGGGTAATTTTAAGGTTTAACTATGATTTTTTTTTTAGAGACAGAAAGATAGGATAACTGTACAGGGCACCCTTATCCTTTCCCTTGGTGGCTTACTAGGGCATCTTAGATGTCTCTGAAGAAATCTAATTGAAAAGTAAGATATAAATCCAGAATTGCTACTCTTACAATATATTACTAAGTTATTTTAAGTTTATTCCAGCAATGAGTTTGATTGTCCGTCTTGTCGTGATATGTCAGTATTATATTATGATCGTTGGTGTGGAGAAATTCTTTGAGGTGATTTAACCCCTTGATTCCAAATGCTTGAGAACTGTTATGGGAAAGGATAGGATATATGATAATGAAATATGATAAGAGACTGATAATGATTGGTTGTTGAAATGAATATTAGTTCTAGAGAGATAGTCACTGGTTTTGGTTTACTGTTACTATTACTATCATTATTATTATTATTATTATTATTATTATTATCATTACTATTATCAGTACCATTATCATTATTATTATTATTATTAGTAGTAGTAGTAGCAGTAGTAGTAGTAGTATTGTTATTGTTATTGTTATTATTATAATTATCCTGGTTCTAATGAGTTAATAAAAGAATTTTTCTTTCTGTTGATTACTTCTTTGTATATTTAATTATTTTTTATTGATAATTTTATAGTCAAAACAAATCTGTTGCATCCACTTTGTTCTATTCATGAAAGAAAACTTTTGCTCTACCAGGTAACTTTGATGGCTATGCAAATTCAATCTACACGATAACAATTGGCGCAGTGGACATTCGGGGGCAGATGCCTTATTATGCCGAGGAATGTGCTGCCATGCTAGCCGTCATGCCCAGCTCTGGCAGTAATGGGCATGATATTGTAAGTGTTGAAAGGAGGGGCCACCCATTTCTATTTTTTTATTGTATTATATATTTTATTGTTTTATAGGATTTTCGAGCTGTAAGAAATGGCTATTTTATAACTTTTTGTTGTTATTGTATGTCTTTGAAAGTTTGGAAAATAAAAATGAGCATTTATTTTCATATCTATTTATGATTATTAATATTAATTTTATTGTATGTATTTCGAAAAGTAGAAGGGATGAAATACTCTTCTTCATTGATAACTGTTTATGGTTACAATGGTTTTTGAAACTTTAGCAGATAGAAATCATTGTTTGTGTTAGTTCCGTTCTTATAGTTCATAATAGTAGTAAACAAATTTTTGTGGCATGTGATATGAGGTAGCGAAAATGATTGTCTTTGAATTTAAGGAGACATACTATGAGTAGATTACTTTACTGTATTTTTGTATTTTTTGACTGATTACTTGATAAAAGAAAAATATGAATGTGAATGAATGATTTTAGAACTCGAGATGAACTATTAATGAGGTGTTTTTTAAGAGTCTGAACTTAACAGTCATCACTAGAACCATGAGACAAAACTGATGACTTGCTCTACAGGTAACAACGGACTGGCGTGAGATCAGTGCCACAGGATGCACCAAGCATCACTCAGGCACATCTGCAGCAGCTCCCTTGGCGGCAGCGGTGGTGGCACTGGCCTTAGAGGTGCAGCCGTGCCTTTCATGGAGGGATGTGCAGTACCTCATCGCACTGACATCCAGGAAGGTAGGGCTGACTGGGGTATTATACATTTGTGTGTGTGTGTGTGTGTGTGGGGGGGTGCGTGTGCGTGTGTGTGTGCGCACGTGCGTGTGTGTGTGTGCGCGTGCGTGTGTGTGTGCATGTGCGTGTGAGTGTGTGTGAGTGAGTGAGTGAGTGAGTGAGTGAGTGAGTGAGTGAGTGAGTGAGTGAGTGAGTGAGTGTGTGCGTGTGCTTGTGTGTGTGTGTGTGAGTGAATGTGTGTGTGTGTGTGTGTGTGTGTGTGTGTGTGTGTGTGTGTGTGTGTGTGTGTGTGTGTGTGTGTGTGTGTGTGTGTGTGTGTGTGTGTGCATGTGTTTGTTTGTCTTTTTTCATATTCATAAAAATATTAAGGTACTCCCTCTATTTGACACCATGTGTAGAATGCTTTGGTAGACCACCAGAGATGATATGGTAATAACTCACTAACACTCCCATGACCCTATGGTTGTGGATTACAGGTACTTGCACATTGCTGGGAGACCATCAATAGATATATTTGTCCATAGTATAAGCAGTGAACTGAAAAAGTTGTCTTTTTTTTAAGGATTAGGAAAATATATTTCATAGGATTAATAAAACAACATCATAAACAGTAGGACATGTTACAGATTTTCTTCAGTTTTGAAATATTGTGTTCAGTATAGGGTGTATATTTGAAGAAATTTTAAGGGCACTAAAAAACAAACTATTCTCATTTAATAATTTAATAGTGGAGAGCTAAAGCATCCAAAAAACTTTCCAGTTTTCATCTTTTATTTAGTTATAGATTGATTGATAAGTTTGGCTAGTTTGCTTGAAGAAAAAAGAAAAAAAGAAGAAAATAAAAGTTATCTGCATGCCATCTTATTGTTACAGTTATTTCCTTGTTTTTGTTTATATACTGGTTTGTTCAATTATTTTACCTAGGTGCTCATGCTAGTATTATAATGTGATGTTTTTTAATTAATGTTTGGTCAATGTGATGTGTTAGGCAAGTGTTATGATAATTGATCATCACATCTTCATGATCATTGTGAGTAGTATCATTGTCAGTAATTATTATGATTTTAAAAAATTATTATTTTTTTTTCTTTTTTCTTTTCTTTTCTTTTCTTTTCTTTTCTTTTCTTTTCTTTTCTTTTCTTTACTTTTCTCTTCTTTTCTCTTCTTTTCTCATCTCTTCTCTTCCCTTCCCTTCCGTTCCCTTCTCTTCTCCTCTCTTCTCTTCTCTTCTCTTCCCTTCCCTTCTCTTCTCTTCTCTTCCCTTCCCTTCCCTTCCCTTCTCTTCCCTTCCCTTCCCTTCCCTTCCCTTCCCTTCCCTTCCCTTCCCTTCCCTTCCCTTCTCTTCTCTTCTTTTCATGATATATCCTTAACCTGTGTAACCCCTACTTCTCCTCAGATCGACACAGCTAATTCGGACTGGTCGACAAACGGGGCCGGCCTGCACCACTCGCACCAGCACGGCTTTGGGCTCATAGACGCGGCTGCTGTGGTTTCAGCTGCAACGGTGTGGGAGTCGGTGCCCTTTGCAACTTCCTTCACCTCCAGGCGCATGGTCGTCAGGCGCGAACTTCCCTCGCAGCGGCTCGGGGAAGTCACGGTTTCGTACGAGGTCACGGGGGAGGCGCTGCAGGGCTATGCCTTGCGGATTCTGGAGTTCGTGCAGGTTGTTTTTTATTTTTTCTTTCTTTCTTTCTTTTTTTTCTTTTGGTAATGTGTGTTTGTTTATTTGTGTGTAGGTATGTTTGTATGTGTGTTTGTATGTTTATCTATTTGTAGGTATGTTTGTATGTTTATTCATGTGTAGGTATGTGTGTATGTTTATTTATGTGTAGGTATGTTTTTCTGTGTGCTTGTCTGTATGTATGATGTAGGTATGTACATATATGAGAGAGAGAAATGTGTATGATTGTATGTAAGAAAAAGAAAGAGAGAAAGAAATCTGTATATCTGTATTTAATTTAGTTTTATTCCAATTGTTACAAGGGATATTCTTGGCATGACATGCTGTCTTTTTTATTTTGCTTAATTACCCCCCTGTGTGCAAGGAATGGCTGGGATTACCATCCACTGGCAGCAAGGGATTTGAATGCAGGTCAAGTACATATATATCCATAAGGAAAAATTTCTCCTTTATTTTGGTAGGTGCGTGTGACAGTGGAGCATCAGTACCGGGGCAGCCTCCAGATCAGCCTGGTGTGTCCTAGTGGCACCCGGTCCGTGCTTGCCACGCCAAGGGATGCTGACAAGTGAGTATTTTGTAATAATAGATTTTGAGTGGTTTTGTTAACTTCCTATTAGTTTTTTGTATTGAATTTATTAGGCAGCTGTAGCTTTAAAAAAATATTCATAATCTTAATAAAAAGCTTGCACTTCTAATCTACTTTGTGTCTGAAGCTCTTCCAAGGGTCTCAGTGACTGGCCCCTGGGGACTGTGCGTTGCTGGGGAGAGGACCCCTTGGGAACATACCAGGTGACCGTTATGCACACACGTCACCAGCAACTCAAGGGTCGGCTGGTATCCTGGCAACTAGTGCTTCATGGGTGCTCTATGTTGCCCCAGGAGTTGCACGAGAGGAGGAGGTGAGTGTTTGTGAGTCTTGGAGGGAATAGGAAAACAGGAAGAGGGGCAAAGGGACATGTATATTATTTACTCTATGTTTAGCTTCTGGTGAGAGATGGCCTTAGAAATGTGTCATGGCCTAAAATTTTGGTCAGTAAATAGCAGTATTAACAATATATCATACAAGTATAGCAATTATATTTTACATAATTTTGCCTAATAGTGCCTCTTTTCAGTACTCAATTGTCAGTAATTTTTCTTGGATTATTCTCATAGCAAATCACAGTAATGATAATGGATTTAGCTCTAACCTTCAGGGAATGCAATTCCTCAACTGATCCTCACCCTCAGCTTCAAATAACCCTGCATTGTCAGCTATTGCCTGTAGGAAAGTTTGTCTGATTGTTTGGATAGTTCATTATCTTGCATTAGAAAATGCACGTTTGTGCTGGTATGCAGGTAGTTACTATGGTTCAACAAAGCTGAAAAAGTTCTCCCTTGGATATAAAAAAAAACAGCAAAATATTACCTGATGAAAGTAAGATACACATAATGTAATAAGATGTGTATTCATGTTATGATAATTTTTTTATTTTCTTATTTGTGTATATAATGTATATTGGAAAAAAAACAGGGTCCTAGAAGAAAAGCAGAGCATGGGATGATGGGTGCAGTAGTTTCTGATGGCTTGGAAAGGGTATAGATGGAGGAGTGGAATGGTCAGGTAGGGAGATGGAAGTATAGGGATGGAGGTCAGGGAAAAGCTCTCTGTGGCCTTGAGGCTGGAAGAAAGATGTTGAAATACCAAGTATACTTTAATTTACACTCACTATATCCCATTCGTACTGAAATAGAGGTGGGAAAGTAGCCTGCCAGTTCTTAAAAGCTTATAGTTTGTTTAGGTAATTTGGCTAATGAGGGAAGCTTAGAGATATGCTCATTTAAAGCAGGGTTGAAAGTACAAAGCATTAATTGAGAAAAGAGTTTGGACGTTACAAAGAATGTGTGACTCCCACAGGACAGTGGAGCGTGCTGTAAGAGGAGAAGTGGTGCATGTGAACAGGAGCCATCTGTGTCATCCGCCGGAACTGAGGTTTGAGCCCTTCCAACCCCTGCCGGAAAGGTGGCTGAAGGTAAGCAAAGAAGGAGGGAGGGAGGGAAAGAGAGCATTCCAGTATTCAGTTTCTTTGGGTTCTCTCAGGAGGGTTTGTGAATTGTGAATTATTATTTTCTATATGTTGTTGTGAGAGGCTTAAGGTTTGATTTGAATGGAAATTTTGTTCTAAATGTATCATATTTAACCTGTGGCATGTGAAATAATTCAGTGTTTATATTGCTTGCTTGTCTATAATAGATTGGTATGGATGTATATGAGATTTAAGAAAGTATAATAGCATTAAGCAGAGTAAGAGTACTGTATGATGATAAATCCACACCACTAGTCCACACTTCACCTTTCAGGTGTTAATCATCACAGGGTTCTTCCTGCTGTTCATGGCAGTCTTCAACTCCATTGAGTACATCTTTTGCTACAATGATGAGAAGGAAAAGTTCTACAAGAAGTTGAAGGACCTCTCCGCAGGACGGGCTATGCACCAGCGGGGGGCGAGTGGGGGCCGCAGGGTGGGCACCTCAGATCACCGCTATGGCAGCATGGAGTCGGGCAATGGTGTACCGGGTGGGGGGGGTGAGACAGCCCTCCCCGCAACTGCCTGTGCCAATGAAGTGCTTCCCCTGATGACTCTCGACCGGGGGAGCTCCCCAACGCTTTCCTGTGATGCTGACGTATCTAGTCTGAACTGTGATAGTGATGAGGATAATCTCTCGTCCCACTGCACAAGTGATACTGTAGTACCAAAGGACACAGATGTCACAGACTTCACTAATGATGAGTTCCTTTCAGAGGCAGATGATGAACGGAGAGGGCCAACCAGTGTGGAGATTGTACATTGATCTTTCATTGTGGAGGAGATTTTATGTTGCCAATATACCACTTGAAAGTCTGTCCATAATGAGAAAATAAGGCTCGAGATTAATTTAAAAAAAGGCCTGACTGTGATGATTAGTAATTAAAATGCATTACAGCATTGTTACTTAGCTGAGGAATTTCATTCTGATTATATACAAATTTATTTGTTCTGTGAAAGAATTGTCATGGTTATGTGCCATGATCATTAAATGTACCTAAATAAGCTTCTAAGTAAGAATGATGAAAACAAAAATTAGCTCAAAGCTAACTTAATTCTGGTAAAGTATGAGAGGTATACCTATGCTGAATGTTTATAAGACTGAAAAATGGAACTTGCATAAATTGATACTTTCCATAACATTGAGAACATGTTGCAGCTTATCACAACAGAATTAACATTTATAAAAACATATATAATAATCATCATCTGTCATCACTTTGTATCAGACACATCATCATTTTTGTAAGGTCTTTTATAAGAATACAATACAATGCATCTTTTAAGAATTTAGTATAGGATAATCACAGAAAGTTCACATGCATCACATGCACTTACATGAAAAGGGGAAAAAAGTTGAAGATAATCCTTTTACCTTGTGAAGCACTCAAGTCTTTAGCGAAATTGTCCATGGTATTTGGTTGTGCATTTTTATGATACTAATTGGGATATGGACTTCAGGGGAAGCACAAAGGACTTTTTAAAATGGCAAGCACAAACAACTATCTGACAGAAAAAGTATTTGGAAATGCAGCTTTTTTTCTGTTTTGTTCTGTTATGTACTCTCAGTTGAAGTGTAGTGAAAGCACAAGCTGCTATGGTTTTGGGGCAGGTGTATGAATATGTGAATATTTTGTTTTTTCTTAGTTTAGTGATTTTTTATATTTTTTATGCAAGTCTTAATGATTTTTATTTAAATATTGTATCTACTCATTTGTTCTAATTGATATCTGCGGAAATTTCAAGGGACTACGATTGTGCATTTTATCATGAAACACTGCATTTGTCCTTGGTTGGCCAATTCAAACTTTTCCACAAAATCACCCCAAAGTTGCCTCAAAATTAGGCTGTCTTGCCTTGTCTTGTGTCATTGGTTGGTCGAAGGTCAACCAAACACATGTGATTTCATTATGCAAGGAGAACTGGTGTTGTTGTTGTTGTGGCCTTATGGGTTTAGAGGCGTAGTTGTTTGTTTAGTGTGAAGTTTTGCCTTTGCTATGTGGCACGTGACATATGACGCATGTTGTTACACTGGAGGGGTAATTTTTAAAAAAAAGAGAGAGTATAGTAGCAGGACACATGTAAGGAAGATTAAAGAGAGGAAGTTCCTGCAGCATGTGATAGTATTGTGTTTTACTGTATTTCAGTTTCTTCATTCTTGTGGTTAGATTTAGATAGAATCATGTCATCGCTAGAATTCACTCTTAATTTCATTAGTATGGAGTACATAGGAATATTCCAAGGCACTGTAGACTGGTCTTAGTTTTCCCTGTCACTAAATGAGGTTGAACCAGAAGTTGTGATTTTTGCTGATAGGGAACAGTTACCTAACTTCACCTGTTTGCTGGTAGTTTGCACAAGGTATTTGTTTTATTTTTCAGATTAGGAAAAAAGGGAAAGAATAGATGGGCATTATTATTAGTAATAATTGAATTGACGTTATTAATTTCTGAGGTAACTTATTTTCATCTACTAGTGTATTTTTCCCCATTAGACTTGTCCACAACTGTATCTGGTACAAAAAATATCCCCATTTCAATACACTGTACAGCAGTTGGAGTCAGGGACTAGAATAGGTTGTAGAAAATAAGTTTTATGTTGACTACTACAAGCAGTTTGTATTTTCTAGGAAAGATATAAATGTGTGTGTGTGTGTGTGTGTGTGTGTGTGTGTGTGTGTGTGTGTGTGTGTGTGTGTGTGTGTGTGTGTGTGTGTGTGTGTGTGTGTGTGTGTGTCTGTGTGTCTGTGTGTATGTGTGTTCACACACACACTCACACTCACACATACACTCACACTCACACTCACACTCACACACACTCACACTCACACACACTCACACTCACACACACTCACACTCACACACACTCACATACACACACTCTCACACACACTCTCACACACACACTCACACACACACACTCACACACACACACTCACACACACACACTCACTCACTCACTCACTCACTCACTCACTCACTCACTCACTCACTCACACACACACACACACACACACACACACACACATACACACACACACACACACACACACACACACACACACACACACACACACACACACACACACACACACACACACTCACACTCACACTCACGCTCACACTCACACACACTCACACTCACTCACTCACTCACTCACTCACTCACTCACTCACTCACTCACTCACACACACACACACACACACACACACACACACACACACACACACACACACACACACACACACATACACACACACACACACACACACACACACACACACACACATATATGCAGACATACAGACACAGACACATAGACATGCACATGCACACGCACATGCGCACGCACACCCACACCCACACCTACACCCACACAGACACACACTTAGTGATACACACACACATAGAGAGACACACACACATATACACACACAAATAAAAATATAGACATAAATATACACATATCCATATGTACAGACAAGTAATTCAGTATTACAGACTCATAGTTTTGTAAAGACAATCATGATTATAGCCAGAAAATAAGAGAATTCTTTGTAGGCGCATTATTTCTGAAGGACGTGAGTGTATGCCATGTTATACATGAAAGCTTAGGATGTAAAGTATTATTATTATCATATATATTATTGATATATAACCCAAATTGCTTTTCATAGCTTTAAATGATCTTTTTTTTTTTTTTGTGATGTTTAAGTGCCCAGCTCCTTCTAGTGTGTAAAGGCAGATATTGGAGCATAATATTAATGATAAAAAGAAGAATGATGATCATAATAATAATAATAATAATAATAATAATAATAATAATTCTTCATACGTGTGAAACTGCAACACTTAGCATTGAATCCATATTCTTTTTGCATAAAATAATGACCATATTATTTAACAATTTTGGTTTATTAATTTTTACTGTTCCTTGTTTATTTGTTCTCATTTAAATATTTTAAGGCATTTTGCAGTCTTTTTTACTGCTTTGTTGTGTGGTTATATCCAGTTATATATAACATGGGGAATGATTTTTAATGTATTATTGTGCATGACATCATTATTTTATAATTATCATGATCATATTATTGTCATTATCATTATTACTGTCATCATCTTCATTTTATTACTTACTTATTGTTATTGTTATCATTGTTATTATCATTTTCATTATTATTATTATTATTATTATTATTATTATTATTATTATTATTATTATTATTATTATTATTATTATTATTATTATTATTATTATTATTATTATTATTATTATTATTATTATTATTATTATTATTATTATTATTATTATTATTATTATTATTATTATCATATATATTATTGATATATAACCCAAATTGCTTTTCATAGCTTTAAATAATCATTTCTTTTCTTTTTTTTGTGATGATTAAGTGCCCAGCTCCTTCTAGTGTGTAAAGGCAGATATTGGAGCATAATATTAATGATAAAAAGAAGAATGATGATCATAATAATAATAATAATAATAATAATAATAATAATAATAATAATAATAATTCTTCATACGTGTGAAAATTGCAACACTTAGCATTGAATCCATATTCTTTTTGCATAAAATAATGACCATATTATTTAACAATTTTGGTTTATTAATTTTTACTGTTCCTTGTTTATTTGTTCTCATTTAAATATTTTAAGGCATTTTGCAGTCTTTTTTACTGCATTGTTGTGTGGTTATATTCAGTTATATATAACATGGGGAATTATTTTTAATGTATTATTGTGCATGACATCATTATTTTATTATTATCATGATCATATTATTGTCAATATCATTATTACTGTCATCATCTTCATTTTATTACTTACTTATTGTTATCATTGTTATTATCATTTTCATTATTATTATTATTATTATTATTATTATTATTATTATCCTTTTTATTCTCACTATTATTATCATCATCATTATCATAACTATTATCATTATTATTGTTGTTATTAGTATTGTAATTGTTAGTATTGTTATTATTGATATTATTATCATCATTTTCATTGTAACTATTATTGTTGTTATCATACCTATAATTTACTGTTATATTTTTATTTATTGTTATTATTATAATCATTATTATTATTTTTTTTCTTCCAAATTTCGCTTCCAGTCATTGCATAAAGAATACAGATTCTCACACTACTCTGTTCATGATGCTAAAGAAATACATTGCAAGTTATGATTGTTCCCTCGTCTAGTCAGTATGTGTTAAGTTTTCGTGTGTTTATGTTTCCTCTCTTCTGTTTTTAATCTCCTTTTTTCACTTTCTTTTATCTTTATGATACTTTCTTTGTATTTTCATTTGATTACATGCAGTCAGAGTTTTGTAGATCATTATATATTTTGCTGTATTTATTAATATTACAAATTTGAATACCAAAAATGTGCACATACACATGCATATGTACACTGCACATGCACTGCACATGTACACTCTCACATTTACTCACACTTACTCATACAGTCATACACACACATACACACTGTTACACACTCACTCACACACAGATTCTCTCACATTTACATATGCTCATGATCAAACTCATTCACACTCACACACACACACACACACATGCACACATACATGCCTAAGCACACACATATGCACACTCACACTCACACTCACACTCACACTCACACTCACATTCTCATGCTCACTCGTGTGTGTGTGTGTGTGTGTGTGTGTGTGTGTGTGTGTGTGTGTGTGTGTGTGTGTGTGTGTGTGTGTGTGTGTGTGTGTGTGTGTGTGTGTGTGTAAGCACAGTAATATATACCTTTATAGCCAAGTTCTTATGCATATTGACCCTGAAGAAAAGTTCTTCCACATTTTAAAGCATAATAGTATTATCATGTAGAACAGTGGATCTTGACCTGTTTTAGTTGTGACCCAAAATTCTGACTGGGCCAGTGAAGGCTTCCCATATCCAGATGAAACCATACATTAATTGGCCAGCATAACATTATTAAAAAAAAAAAAAAAAAAAAAAAAAAATTGAGATTTTAAAGACGCACTCAAATATCTGCGGGCAATTTTGGGTGCGACCCATAGGCTAGGAATTACTGGAGTAGAACCTCATAGAGTTAACTTCAAGGCTTGTTTTACTTTGTTCATGGCAGTTTATTATTGCAGAGAGAGGAAGATGGGCTGAAGGTTAGAAGAAGAGGGAAAGGGAGAGGGGGGAAAAAGAGGAGAGGGCGAGTGAGATGAGGGGGAGGGGAAGGTGGGGTGTATGCGTTGTAATGTGAATGTGTCAGTGAAAATCAGAGTATACGTATGAGAGTGTAAGTATGTGTTAGGGATCATTTGTATTAATGAGTCTGTGTGTGTTAGTGAGGGAGGGGAACAGAGGATAGGAGTTTCAGGGTTAGAGAGAGAGAAGTTAGTGAGGCAAATGAGAAGAGATAAAGAAAAACAGGAGAAAGAAAGGGAAAATGTGAATTATTCCAATGCCGCCTGGAAAATGCTGTGGTAATTTTTAATTTTTTTTGTCAAATGTCTCTGCACATAGATGGCTCTGCTAGTGCTTAGCCACAAGTCAATTAGCAGACCTTGCGGCCTTACCTAGCTTCACCTTTCCTTGAATTGGCCAGAAAAACAAGTTCTTTACTATTTCTATGAATATTGATGGTGTTTTTTTATTGTAGAGATTATAATTACTATGTTATAAACATTAGTAACAGCAAAATAAGATAATGTAAAATATTTTTGTAAATCAAGGAAGAGGGTAAACGGGCAAGACAGGCAATACTCGTAATTGGCTCATTGGTACAAGTGTAGCCATCTATGTGTTAAAACAATTAATAAAGTAAACTCGCAGTGAACATGGCATGTACGTATATGCCATGCCCAGTGGCATTGGGTTAAAGTAAAGATGAGAAAGAAGAGAGAGTGAGTGAGTTTGAATGGGAGTGTATTTTTTTCTAAAGTATATGAAAAATGAAAATTTGTTTTGAATAATAAAAGCCATATGTGAAACACATACAAACCTCATTCTTCATAACTTAGGTTTATAAACTGTCCTTGTGTTCATTACATTTAGAGAAAATAAAAGGAATTTTGTGACTTGTTACAGTAAAACATTAAAGGAAATGTTGTTTTCATTGTCTTTTATTTCATTATCCTGTTTACCCATTGTTGCCAGGAATATGCAATGATTACTGTCTTAGTTTTGTATGATTGTTAAAATGTTATTTACAATACTAATAGCAATAAGAAATAATAAAAAGTTTTCAAAATTCCAGGAAGGGGGTAAAGAGGTGAGATAGACAGGACCCCAATTGGCTATTTGGTAACTAAGAACTTGTGGAGCCATCTATTTTGTAAACACGATTAATACAATAAAATCACAGTGGACATAGCATGTATATCCTTACATGCCATTTCCCCGGAGTCACTGTTTTCCTAATTATATGAAAAACACTTATGAAAAACACTTTTTTTTTTAATCATAAATTTCGCAAAGAGTTGTACCAGTATCATTTTCCATTTCACCATTAGATACTTACAATACAGTAACTTTCAAGTGTAGTATGATTATAATATAAGAGTAATCTAAAGATAGATTACATTTATTTCACTTTATTTATTGAGCTTTTGAATATATATGAATAATTTATGAGTACATTCTTGTACTTAATTCATGGAATAATTGTTTTTAAAGTTAAAACATAACACTAAATGTAGTAGTAGTAGTAGTAGTAGTAGTAGTAGTAGTAGTAGTAGTAGTAGTAGTAGTAGTAGTAGTAGTAGTAGTAGTGGTAGTAGTAGTAGTAGTAGTAGTAGTAGTAGTAGTAGTAGTAGTAGTAGTAGTAGTAGTAGTAGTAAAAGTTGTAGTAGTATAAATGATAATAATAATGATAATGATGATGATTATAAAAATAATAATAATGATAATAATGATAATAACAATAACAATAACAACAATAATAATAATGATAATGATAATGATAATAACAATAACATCTTAGATAAGATCATAATATCAAGTGTAATTATGGAGATTACGTAACTAATCTTTACCACAATACAAAAACACTTGCAATCAACTTCATGTTTTGAAGACAGTGTTAGAAGAACTAATACTATTTTTTTTCTCAATTCCTTAATAGATTCGTGTCCAAATATCTAATACTAAATAAACACACACACGCCCGCACGTACCCCCCCCCCCTCCTCCCAACACACACGTACGCACATACTAACACACACATGAAAACAGATTAGTTTCCCCGATTTTCTATTTTGTCGCATGAAAGAAAACATCACTTCCTTCTATTACGGTTGAGCATATGTGTTCGTGTCCTGAATAAACATATATCTTATGTCTTACACAGGGATTGTGAAGAATATAAAGAAAATACACGTTTTTTCAAGAGATACATATAATAAGCATGGGTTAATTAATATGTAAATGAATTCCATACACGATTGCCGATTTCAAATAATTGTAAAATGTAATTGTAAAATTCCATCTAGGAATATAGAGCCCATTGTAATGCTTGAAAACACTCTCTCAGGTAATCTCGAATGGTACAATATTAAATTTAATAGCTAATGTATTACAAATGCTAAATATACACAATTGTGATGAAAAAAAAAAAAATGCACTGGCTCAAAATAATACGGATGAAAATGACATATAGTTATCAACATCATATTGGCACTACATTCACTAAGTAGTAGTAGTAGTAGTAGAAGTATTAGCAGTAGTAGTAGCAACAATAACAACACTAGCAGGATTAGTACTAATGATAATAATGATCATTATTATTACTATGATGGTGATTATGATGAGAATCATCATACTACTACTATCATTAGCATAGTAGTAGTAGTACAACAACAACCACTAAAGATATTGAAAATTGTCATAAAAACAACAACAAAACAACAACAATCCTATATGAATATACAACATATAGAAATAAACCAACGTTTCTGATATATAGTTATTCTAATCTTATCCTGTTATCTTCATTATCGAAATAACTTATCTCCCCACTGAACACAAACAGCACAGACAGTGTCGCACGTGGACGCATGGAGGATGCAAGTAAGTTGTATTGACGGTCTGGTTCAAAGGAAACTTAATTTGAGAATATCGCGGTTCAATCAGCTGTTTCGTATTTTAGAATCATGTGGTTCGTTATACAGAACCCGTAACTTGAAAACGACATTACGTAGTCATCACTAAGGTTCATTTTCATAACATTTGGTCTTGTTTTGGACGACCAGTTATTTTACATGTCGTGCAAGGATCACATTAGTTGGTGAATCGCTGAAGTCATCGATATTCTTCGCGATTCTCAATCATAAACAATACCTAAAAGCAAATCGTTAGTTCCAGTAATAACACAAGAGGCCAAAGTATTAGATATGTTTGTCTCATTAGACGTGATTGTTATGTCTCAAAGGTGGATTCTCCGTCATCTCAAAGTGATTATGAGGTGTCAGATTTAAAGGTTATAGTCAGCCAATGGTACGTGATTGTTTTTCCACTCTTTTTGTGTCGTTTTACCAGTTACACGATTCAATTATCCCATTCGATTGTTATCTACTCCTCAAGTATCATCACCGTTATTTATTAATGTGAATATGGGTGTGAAAGTGTCTTCTAATCGTTAGAAGAAGAAAGAGGAAGAGGAAGAGGAAAAAAAGAATATTCTGTAAAAAAGAAAAAGAGGAAGAAGAAGAAGAAAGATATTCGCTTTAACTTTATTGGCACGAGAAAGTATGGCTTAATATAAGCAGAAAGCAGTTACACCTACCATTCTACATGTATTCCAATACACATGTCCAGATATTCTGTTCTGTTAGCCTAGTAGAAAATAATATAAGCACATAAAAACAAGGTAAATTACTAAGAATATCAAGGAATTAGTGGTGTACTTGTTAGTGTAAGAGCAAATATACTATAAGGCATTAAATAACCAATAAAATCACTTGTTTGAGGGCAGAGAGACATCAACGGAGGATGGAATACCCACCACTGAAGTTGCCATGTTTATCAAATGCTTATTTAGTTGTTTGTGGTTAGCTTCGTTTAATCTTGAGGCGATGATCAATTTACTTTGTCTGCTGGATAGACGAGGGAAGCAATTTAAAAAACTTATAGAATGTTTAATTTTAAGTGAAGATAAATTAGTAAAGAAACTTGCGAAACACTGAACCGATTTCCACCCATAAGAATTTAGGATGACTAGCAGTGAAAACACGAGTCTCAACTAACAGAAAAAAAGGTGTCAAGATCCTGAAACGTGATAAAGATATCTCAATCATCAGACAATTGTTCAAAAGATGAGAAAAGAGAATATTGACGTCTGGGTCTATAAATTATATTTTATATCGTGAACATTGTTCGGATCAAGAAACTATATGATGAGACTTGTAAGAGAAATCCTCTATACTTGGAAAAAGAAAATTCACATTATAGCTTGCATGTCGTAACCTAAGTTTAGTCATTGCAGACTTTTTTTGTTACTTGTTAAAAAAAAAAAACTTTTTGGCAAAGAATACTATAATGAAAATATCCAGAAACTTTCATGCACAATCACAACTTTCCTGCATTCGTTCGAAATATGATATCTATACTGAAATTTACGTCCATGCGTGTGTGAATTACATTCTTGTCTATAACTTTTATACTGTGAAGACTTCCAGATTTAGAAAAGAAACGAAAAACAAACAAGCTGAAATAATGTCTTAACTTTATTAGTAGTTCAGTAATGTTATCAAACTCCTCACTCTTTCTCTTGATTACATTTAGGCAATCTTCGCAGGAAGGAAAGGATTAGGATGCCCTAGTGACGGGAAGCAGGACAAGGAAGATACATCTAGTGGAAGGCAAGAAGTGATGGAGGCTCAAGAGAAAGACTTGGCAATCCAAGAAAACGGGGTGGAACTTAACGAAAAAGGGGTGGAGCTAAGAGAAAAAGGGGTGGAGTTAAAAGAAAAAGAGGCGGAGTTACAAGAGAAGGAGGTGGAGTCAACTGCGAAAGAGAAAGAGCAGAACCCACTTGAAGAAAGGTCGGAGCCCTGTAAGGAAGATAAAAAATCACCAGAGGAAGGGATCGAGGCCGAAGAGAAGGGGACAGAGCTTCTTGTAAAAGGTGTGGAGTCTCGGAAGAAAGGGGAGGAATCACGAAGGGCGGAGCGACCTAGAAATGGAGAGGCGTCGTCAGAAAGCAGGCTGCAAGTACCTGAAAGTGAGGGAGTATCACTATCCAGGGAAATCAAAAGGGGAGACGGCGACCTGATGTCAGAGGGAGGTGAAGTGGACCGCTATTATGTTCTAGGTCAGCAAATAAACATAGAAGAAGACCTTTGCCACGAGTTCAAAGGTCACCGCAGCATCTCCATCCACGACCTTCACAACCTGTGTCTAAACACCGATGGAACGACAGACCGCAGCCGTAACGCCGTGTCAATGTACGTATACCCAACAGTGCATTCTAAGGAATCTAAAGCTCTATATCATGGTTACTGAGGGATCCTAAAGCTTTATCAAAATTCCTTTTGTGGTGATATTGCAGAATTTAGGAATCATTTAGCCTATATGATTATTCTAATCCCAATGCGTTCTTCAGTCCTGTGTGTGCCATGCTGAATTCGAGTCACGGTGGCACGATTTATCTCGGAGTGGCAGACGACGGCCAGGTGAAAGGCATGGGACTTACCAGGTAATGTTGGGTTTATTACTTGGTTATTTTCCAGTTAGAGGTACAATAAAGTACGAATGAAATACACAGTCTAGATCAGGTGTTCTTAACCGAGGGTATTCCTTCCCTTTAGGGATATGGAAACAATCGCTGGAGATTCGATATCTAGATATTTGTATGTATTTAATGTTTTGATTTATATTTGTTTAGAATGGCTGTGAACTAGCACTGTTATTACATATTTTAAAACCAAACTAAATATCAATATCTAAAGATATAACGACAAAGAAGTGAAGGAGGGTATGGGTTAAGAACCTCTGGTTTAGATTGTAAATAACACATTCAACATGGAATGTCAATTAAATACAACAACGCTGATTATGTCTGTACTAAGTCTAACTCGCACTGCCGTCTCCCCCTTTTTCTGCCCCCCCCCCTCTCTCTCTCTCTCTCTCTCTCTCTCTCTCTCTCTCTCTCTCTCTCTCTCTCTCTCTCTCTCTCTCTCTCTGTGTGTGTGTGTGTGTGTGTCTCTGTCTCTGTCTCTCTCTCTCTCTCTCTCTCTCTCTCTCTCTCTCTCTCTCTCTCTCTCTCTCCCTCCCTCCCTCCCTCCCTCCCTCCCTCCCTCCCTCCCTCCCTCCCTCCCTTTCTCTCCCCCCCTCCCTCCCTCTCTGCCCCCCCCCCCCCCTCTCTCTCTCTCTCTCTCTCTCTCTCTCTCTCCTCTCTCTCTCTCTCTCTCTCTCTCTCTCTCTCTCTCTCTCTCTCTCTCTCTCTCTCTCTCCTTTCGATCCTTGACCTTTGACCTATGACCTAGGTACCAGCGCGACCACGTAGAGGCGTCTCTCAAGTGGACGCTGAGCAAGTACACGCCCCCTGTTTCCGAATCACGGTATTGCGTTAAGTTCGTGCCTGTGGCTTCCTCCAAAAACACACAGAAGTCTTTCAAGTTCCAGGAAGAGTGAGTTTGTGTCAAAGTATCTGAATTTTGTGTCTTGTATCTGAAATAAGTGTCAAGTATCTGAAATAAGTGTCAAGTATCTGAAATAAGTGTCAAGTATCTGGAATATGTGTCTTGTACCTGAAATAAGTGTCAAGTATCTGAAATAAGTGTCAAGTATCTGGAATATGTGTCTTGTATCTGAATATGTGTCTTGTATCTGCAATTGAGTCTCGAATGCATACTTATGAAGCCAAAGAACACGCATGCCAGGATAACCAGGACCTCAGAATATTGGCATTTACCCTGAAACGTTCATCTTCTTGTTTGGTTATGTATATTTA